CGAATGATTGTAATTAGTTAAAATTGTATTTGTATGATTTTATAAGAGTGAGCAACGATATAATATAAAGGATGCGAGCACAAGTATTGAGCTAAATGTGAATGAGATGGACCTGAAGGTCAGAGTTAACTCTGCTACTGCTTTGTTGAATTTAGCAATGGACTTTGCTGCTGCTTTAGAAAATATCCTGCTGTTGGATTGAAGATAACAATTAGACTTCAGATAAGCTAAGAGATAATCTTAAGGTGACGGGACGTAAAAAAGTAACTCAGAATTCAGACGATATGGCGACTACAACGATAAATGAAACGCGAAGGGTTGTGTAATGAAGGTTCAACAATGAGTTGTCCTTAACGGAATTGTACCTGAATTGCTAGACGTAACAAGTGACTTACCACAAGAGTCAGTCTTAGAACCTTTTCTGCTCTTGATACTCACAAATAATATCGATAATTGGGGTATACTGTACATTGTAAAAGTCGCTTATGACAGAACTGGAGAGGAGAGTTTCGCGACCACTAAAATGTCGAGAATTGTAAGGCGACATAGACAAGTTTTAGTGCTGCCATTGTCTTTTTTTCGGGGGGTGGGGGGTAATATTCTGAATTTTCCTGGGTTCAGAAATCAACTTGAAGCGTTTATGCAGTGCTGCTCATGGAAAGAAGCCTATCAGGGGAAGAAAATGCACTCGGTAGACTACACACTGCACGGTAACCTGAGGAACCCAACCTAACCTCAGCTTCGGAGGAGCACTGCAGCAATTATGTACCAGTTTTCTGTACAAATATATACACATCTCATATATTTTATTGGTTATTGTAGATAACGGATTAGCGACTCAATAATTTTATTACGGTTTTATATTTGTGAAGTAGTTACTCAGAGTAACTACTTCATATTGACAAACTTTTAGAAATACAGTTAATTGTCTAACAATGTTAAGCCTATAATTGAGACCAATTGTCACATTGAATTACTAGGACTACAAGTGACCTTTCCTCACACCTGCCTCTCTCCTTCCCCAGATATGTATATGTACAAGCATCTGCTGTACAGTCTCAACGTTATCATCTATATTATTATCATCTACATCTAAAGGCGTATTATATTGGCTCGGCAATAGAGAGAGGCAGTAGCTTCTTGCTCTAAACCCATGTTGCTCTGGGCTGTGTAAATGTTGTGATTCCATTATCAGAATCTTTCAGATTATGATAATGTACACAAATAAGCCGCACATAGAAGATAGGAGCTTACGACGACGTTTCGGTCCGACTTGGACCATTTACAAAATAGGACCGAAACCTCGTCGTATGCTCCTCTCTTCTATATGCGAGTTATTTGTGTATCGTTCCAGTCACGGTATTGTGCCTTTTTTTTAGTTTTTATTATGATGTGTGATGCCAGTGTTCTCGGTATACTTTATTTTTTGGCAATTGCTTTATTGTGCTACCTTCGTGTCCGAGAATCTTAGTGACTGCAATGACATCTTTGTCCAGAATCTTATTTCTAAAGGATAGCTTTCGTTGAATGAGAAATATTGCAAGTCTATATATATAGGACAGAGCGAATTGGCATATTATCAATGACTTCGTCAAATTCAAATGGGGTAATGGATATAGCAGAAATGTTGATGTAAAGCTGTTGGCAGTGTTTAGAATCTCATTTTTGGAAAATTAATTTTTATTGTGGTAAATTAGACACATGTGCAACTCTTGGGTATCTTTATTGAGGAAACGTTTCGCCACACAGTGGCTTCATCAGTCCATACATAGGAGAAACTTGAAGAACAGGAGGAGAATGAGGTAATCAGTCCCTCAACCTTGAGTCGATGTGTTCAGTCCATCAATCTTGAGTAGAATACGGCAGATGAGCGGAGAAGCAGCTTATAAACCGTATGGCAGGAGAGGTGTAGCAGTCATAGGTAGTGTCACATTTGTTCAATGTGGAAGTAGGTTGTGCCCAAGAATTAGGCAAGCGAAGAATTCCTAAGTATTAAGATCCCAAGAAGTTGCAGTGTCTGACAGGTTTTGTAGATGAATGGTTCAGAGAACCGACATGTTGATAAATTAGACACATGTGCAACTCTTGGGTATCTTTATTGAGGAAACGTTTCGCCACACAGTGGCTTCATCAGTCCATACATAGGAGAAACTTGAAGAACAGGAGGAGAATGAGGTAATCAGTCCCTCAACCTTGAGTCGATGTGTTCAGTCCATCAATCTTGAGTAGAATACGGCAGATGAGCGGAGAAGCAGCTTATAAACCGTATGGCAGGAGAGGTGTAGCAGTCATAGGTAGTGTCACATTTGTTCAGTGAGGAAGTAGGTTGTGCCCAAGAATTAGGCAAGCGAAGAATTCCTAAGTATTAAGATCCCAAGAAGTTGCAGTGTCTGACAGGTTTGTAGATGAATGGTTCAGAGAACCGACATGTTGATAAATTAGACACATGTGCAACTCTTGGGTATCTTTATTGAGGAAACGTTTCGCCACACAGTGGCTTCATCAGTCCATACATAGGAGAAACTTGAAGAACAGGAGGAGAATGAGGTAATCAGTCCCTCAACCTTGAGTCGATGTGTTCAGTCCATCAATCTTGAGTAGAATACGGCAGATGAGCGGAGAAGCAGCTTATAAACCGTATGGCAGGAGAGGTGTAGCAGTCATAGGTAGTGTCACATTTGTTCAATGAGAAAGTAGGTTGTGCCCAAGAATTAGGCAAGCGAAGAATTCCTAAGTATTAAGATCCCAAGAAGTTGCAGTGTCTGACAGGTTTGTAGATGAATGGTTCAGAGAACCGACATGTTGATAAATTAGACACATGTGCAACTCTTGGGTATCTTTATTGAGGAAACGTTTCGCCACACAGTGGCTTCATCAGTCCATACATAGGAGAAACTTGAAGAACAGGAGGAGAATGAGGTAATCAGTCCCTCAACCTTGAGTCGATGTGTTCAGTCCATCAATCTTGAGTAGAATACGGCAGATGAGCGAGAAGCAGCTTATAAACCGTATGGCAGGAGAGGTGTAGCAGTCATAGGTAGTGTCACATTTGTTCAATGAACAAATGTGACACTACCTATGACTGCTACACCTCTCCTGCCATACGGTTTATAAGCTGCTTCTCCGCTCATCTGCCGTATTCTACTCAAGATTGATGGACTGAACACATCGACTCAAGGTTGAGGGACTGATTACCTCATTCTCCTCCTGTTCTTCAAGTTTCTCCTATGTATGGACTGATGAAGCCACTGTGGTGGCGAAACGTTTTCCTCAATAAAGATACCCAAGAGTTGCACATGTGTCTAATTTATCAACATGTCGTTCTCTGAACCATTCATCTACAAACCTGTCAGACACTGCAACTTCTTGGGATCTTAATACTTAGGAATTCTTCGCTTGCCTAATTCTTGGGCACAACCTACTTCCTCATTGAACAAATGTGACACTACCTATGACTGCTACACCTCTCCTGCCATACGGTTTATAAGCTGCTTCTCCGCTCATCTGCCGTATTCTACTCAAGATTGATGGACTGAACACATCGACTCAAGGTTGAGGGACTGATTACCTCATTCTCCTCCTGTTCTTCAAGTTTCTCCTATGTATGGACTGATGAAGCCACTGTGTGGCGAAACGTTTCCTCAATAAAGATACCCAAGAGTTGCACATGTGTCTAATTTATCAACATGTCGGTTCTCTGAACCATTCATCTACAAATTTTTATTGTAAATTTTTAGTCAAAATAATGGCTTGCTGAGCACAAGTCGTATTGTTACATGAGTATTTCTCTCATTTCTTTGTTATTGATAAGGGTTCCATCTCCCTTTAAGTTTCAATCTTTGAGAGCCTCGAGAGAGTAGTGTGATTTTCACTCACCATGAAGCGGGCCAAAACGACATGGGTTCGAGTCCTCGGCTGGTCGCAGTGTTGTTATTGATTAATTGCCACTCGTCCGTGGTTACAAAAATAATATGTATTGCTCGTGGAGGCTAGTACACCAAACGGGGAGTAGAATGAAATTAGCTCTGAGGCACCCACACCACCGTGTGTCCTCGGATCACGGTAAAACACCTAGCTCTGCTGGGTGCGTGATTCTTGTAGGATTTGGTGGTCCTGTGGTTAGCGCGTCATGTAATTTTCGCTCACCATGAGGCGGGCCAAAACGACAAGGGTTCGATTCCTCGGCTAGTCGCAGTGTTGTTATTGATTAAATACCACTGGAATAGGTAAAATTGGTCAATTAGCAAGAACTCATTTAAAATTAAGTCCCCTCTAAAATTTTCTCTTACGTTTAAAGATATATTTTTTCGTTTATGTTAATGTAAAAAAATAATAATTTTGTACCAAAAGAACCTTAGAAAACTTATCTAACCTTATTATAACAAGCACGATTTAATTTAGCCTGATCCAACTAAATATATTTTAGATAAGTTTACAATAATTTAATAAACACAGTAAAATATATATTTTTGTCGTTAGGTTCAGAATGATTTTTGCGATATTATTGCATACACAAATTCATTCAGAGATTTTGGGTGTGGAGGACTAAAAGTCGCGCATCAACCGTGTAACAGTGTACGATCGACACCATGCCTAACCCTTCTAGGGTAGGGTAGGTGCCTGAGCCCGAGCTTTTAGCTCATAAGACTGTCATTCCCATTAGCCCCCTTGGGGCGGGGATGGCAGACCAGAGAGGCCTAGCTTGTGGCTAGGCCTGGGGACAGTTGGTCCCAAAGATGAGGAGGTACTTGTGCCTCCTCCCATGGGAGACTTCGGTCTCAGACACTCCCTAAAGAGGGAGCCAAGGCCGGGCCACCACTTGGAAAAGGCCCGGGCCGGGAGAATACCGGCGAATATTTAATAATAATAAAATAACAGTGTATCTTCAGATATATATGTTGTGATATTAGCAGTATCAGCTGCAGGGAAATTTTTATTTTCCACTTGGGGTCATTTAATTTACATGGCAATTCTGTGCATTTTACTTATTTCTATGATCTCCAAATGGTAATAAATAAATTCTTTACACCTCTATCTTATGTGTACGAGGTAAGTCAATCAGTACAGGACTCGTATTCAAGAAAGGGTTTAATTAATGGGTTAAGTCTTTATTTATCATTCCCTAAATGTGAATTAAGTATTGAGTGGCACTTAATAAATATCGTATGGCATGAGGAATATACTATTATTATAGCACAGGTTAGCGCTGGTATGGAGGCTTGTATGAGGGTTGAGGCTGGTATGGCTGGGGCTTGAAGGTGATTGGGGGACCATATTCGTAGGGGTACTGGGCTTCACCATAGTAACTCACTTCAGCCCGGTAGCCACCATAATCGTCTGCTACGTAAGTTACCTGGAACAATAGACATTTGTCACAATATAAATCCAGTTTACATTAAATTAGATTCAAAATTTGTTTTAGAAGAATATGGTACAGATTATTTTACCCAGTGGTTTTGAACGCATATGTAGACAATATAGTGTAATGTACACACTTTAGGAAAGCCTTTGGCAACTGTGATCATGGTACAATAACACAAAATCTCAGCGAAGAAAATGACTTGAAAAAGGGGAAAAATAGATCTCAGCCCTTTTATAGAAACCTAAAGAGTAACAGTGAACGCTGTAAAATCAGAGAATTCAGTAGTGAAAAGTCCTGGTCATTATGACACAATATTCATTCCATTTCATTCTCTATCTTATTTGGCAGACTGAAGCACAAATCTTAGAACTATTACCCTTCACTGACAGTGCAAAAATTCGTCTATGAGAGGCATCCAATGAGGACACCGCACCTCTAAGTTAATGTAATCCAAGACTGTAATGTTAAACGAAGACAAATTGCGCCTACCGAAAAAACTGAAGAAATGCAAATTGGAATCAAAATCCAAGTACTCGATTGAGCCGAGGAGGAATGTAAAGAATGTGTGGGTAACAAATCGGAAGAATTATACAGCACTTTAGGAATTGGAGGCAATTACTTTTAACCCGATGGGAAATGTAACTCCAATTTCTTAAATCAAAATCCTTTTCACCAGCATCAAGGCAGCCCCACTAAAAGAATTTATATTTACAGCAGCAAGGGAACTGATAAGCTGAATAACAGCAACTTGCAGAACAAGAGATCTTAAACAGATTATGATAATAATAGACACCAATGTACCATAAACTGAAATATTGCTATGCACTAAAAGTCCCATTCAAGGCACAAGAAATTGCTTACTCCGAGAACTTTCACTGTTCGCATAAATTCAAACACATAAATTATGTTGAACGCCTGAAATCTCTTCAGTTACACTTCTTGAAACGTATTCAAGAAGTAAGTGGAATACCTGGAATACTGGAGGAACTGGTTGTAAAACTATATACTGAAATTACTCTTTGGGGGGGGGGGAGAGAGAGAGAGAGAACGGAAGAGAGATTTCAAAACTCACTGCTGCAGAGGAGTACAATAAGTACGCTGAGGTAATTCAAGTTTGTATAAAAGATCCAGGGCTTTTCAGCACCATCCTTTCGAGTATGAGAAGAACTATAAACAGACTTCTGTCTTCATGACATAACCTGACCAGTTGGTCTTAACTATTTCTAATAAATAAGACGGTGTCTGAGATGAACCGCAAGTGACGGGCTATAACAATGTAAATGATCAGGCGATCAGTAAGGAGACCTGGAACAGTGATCTCTGGGGCCATCAACATTTAGCTAAACAACAGGTGAACCAACTTAAAAAAAAATTGACGTAAAAAATATAATTTTCATAACCACACTTAGACGATTAATTTCATGGAGGACATTTCAGTACCAATATTTCATTTTCCATCAACTCACTGTCTGCTTGCGACCGTCGGGAAGCTGCACAGTATAGGAACCTGTAACAGTTTTCCCGTCAGATTCTTCAGCTTGGCTAAAATCAGTGCCTGCGTACTCATCCTTGACGCCATATTCGAAGTTGTACGGTATCTGTGGGATAATACAGTGAGAGAATTCACTAACAATGTTACATTCTTTTTCAGTATTCACAGCTTATATATTATAAATAAATATATATAAATATATATATAAAAATATATATATATAAAATATATATAATATATATATATAATATATAAAAGCTGTGAATATGGTTTTTGATCGATGACAAGTTAGTCGGAAATTTTACAGTTTTTGTCTTACATTGAATATGAACAAAAATAATGGTTGTGTGACCTGATTGTATACAGGTTGTGGTCCAGGTGCGCCGTAGAGGTCTTCAGGGGCCGCCATAGCCACGCCCACTACCATAACCATGACCAACTGTGTCAAGTGAAGACGGGAAATTATTTGGAATTATCTGTGTATGTGTATTTATTGTTATTATTATTATTATTATTATTATTATTATTATCACTATTATGTCGTGCCGAATCGATAAAACTTGCGATTTGGCTTAAATAGCAACGCTCTTCTTGCCGAATAAGGCAAGCGAAAATTTGTGTATTCAATAATTTCGTAAAAATCATTCTGAACCTAACAAAAAAAATGTATATTAACTGTGTTTGTTTATTATTAAATTATTGTAAACTTATCTGAAATACGTTTAGTTGGATTAGGCTAAATTAAATTACGCTTGTGTTAATAAGGTTAGGTAAGTTTTCTAAGGTTCATTTGGTACAAAATTATTAATTTTTACATTAACATAAATGAAAAAATATATTTTGAAAAGTATAAGAGAAAATTGTAGGAAAGACCTTATTTTAAATGAGTTCTTGCTAATTGACCAATTTTTACCTATTCGGCACTATATATATATATATATTATATAATATATATATTATATATATATATATATATATATATATATAACATTATGATATTGCATGAATTGACTTCACTGATATGAGGCCCCAAGTCACCTTGAAGATCATTGTGAGTCTTGTGACCTGGTGCTGCAATGGGTGAAGTGTGTGTGATGGTGTTTCGTGACGGTGTCTTATATAGCAAGGTGGTGACGACCTTCTATCCATTCTCTACCCCACCCCTCCCTCTTCCCCAGACTGCATGAAATGCACACTGATGTGATGAGAAATGACACCAAAGCATAGCTGGCTTATTTTCCCACAGTGTGTCAATCATATAATATAGTGTTTCGGTACATTGCCGTTTTGTTAAATAAATAACCGAAAGATTCATGTGCACACACAAATACATGTTTCAGAGGTAAGGGACATGAACTAAAAGAGTTCTACGTGAATGGAGGACAAAAGAACTAATGGAGACATAACATTCAGACTATTCAGAGGAATTGATTAGGTAGACAGGGACACACCTGGATGTTAGGCGGATGAGCCACAGGGATGTTCAGTGATTCTTCAGTCTCAGAGTGGTCGGCAAGTAAAATGATTTCGATGAAGAGGTGGTGGAGGCAGGCTTTTTACGTAATTTTAAGAACGGGTAAGATAGAAGCTAGGAGAAAGTGAATGCGACAACCCGCAAGTTGAGGGGTGGGAGCAGCAGCTGAAGATTGATCATTATAGTCGAATTCATTCTCTCTCTCACTCACTGAAACAGATATGTAATTTTAACTATATAATGCTACTTGTAGCTAGTGATTAGTGAAATTGCATTGTTAAGATTTGATTACTTCGTAAAAGCGTAAGTGAAGAAGAGAATGGCAGGAGAGAATCTGAAACCAGGTTACAGAATAGTGAATTGTGAACGGAATTTGGAAGGTAAGATATGACTTGAGATGAGGTTGGGTCTGGCCATAAAGTGTCGGGAGGTCACAAGAAAATTTCTCTAACCCATGAAGAAAGAGAATATTAAAAATCCAGTGATTCAACCTGTGATGCCGAAAAGTCGAAGTAAGGAACGAGAGAGAATGGAAGAAATAGTGAGGACGGCAGAAAGCTATAGACTGAACAGCAAGAAATTGGTATATAACGGTAAGAAATTTGAATATGATGCAGTATCGAAGGATAAAGGTGATACGTTTCACAGCAACACAGTAAAGCAAATGACTGAAAGATCAGGTGAAAGACTTACTACGATATTCCGTTGATGTCTTCATAGAGTAACAAGGAATGATATTCAAGAACACGAGAAACTAGGGTAATTCAGCAGTAGCTGGAGGATATACTCATCATGGTCTGACAGCATTCATCTGCAACATAAAAAACAATGTTCCCTTCATAGATAAAGTACGGTAGATGTGCCAAGGGACTGCCAAGAGAAGGCACTGTGTGCCAGACTACTAACTTAAAAAAATATTTACTATTAATTTAATCAAGAAGATGGGACACCATGGCCGTAGTTCTACTGCTGTAACCAGTGTACAGAGACGTTCGTGCACTAAATACAGATATTCAACAATGGTTTAATAAAGCTCATCATTACAGTAGGGTTTTTTCAGTGTTTTCGTGAATTCTTATAATTAATACATAAACAAGAGAATCCTTATTTTCCAAATTTAATGAGTGCAGTTTTTCTTTCACTTAGGGATGGAAATTCTTATTTGTTCTTTTAGGAATGTCTTTTTTTTTTTAATTAATCCTCTGTAACATAATTGAAATGAGAGGATGACGTGAGTGGAATTACTATGTCTCACGTAATACCAAAATTAAAAGTCTAATGATGATCATAGGTTATTTATTGAATTATCCTCCTCGGTTATTCCTTGAAGTGTTATTAAAGAGGTTTTTGAAGGTTCGTGAAGACCAAAGTCAACGCAACTGCTCCGAGATTGCCCATTAATTATGAGATGCACTATTTCTTTCAACATGATACAGTTGAATTAGCGTGGTGAAGGAAAGTCAGGATTGTCCAAAATTTCGAGGCATTACGAATATTATTTGTAATTGAAAGACGAAAATTATTAGCCACAGTCCCTCTTAATGCAGATATTATCAGGGTTAGGTTGTTTGGTCTATTTCCTGCTGCCCTCATGAGGGTCATTTTGACCACAAATCATTTAGCATCAAGGAAGCTTTGTTCTTTGAAATAAGAAACAAAACCATATTCTCAGTGAAGGTACACAAAATAAAATGAATACTGACCATTGACAGGAAATTCCACTGGAGACACAAACTAGGAAGAATGGTAGTCTATATTTCGACCTCTAGCTGAGGTCCTCTTCAGCAGAATATGGCTGGAAAGTTAAAATATACAGACTGTCAGTCTTTCTCATTTTTGTTTCCTTTCTCGTTCCTCTAGGTGTATATGAACAGGTATGGTAAATACCACCTTCCCGCATCATGAGAGGCGTTGAAGACATGACTAGCAAAACCTATTTTTGTAACAAGTGAAAATGTGCAAGTGTCAAGTCAGTTTTGAAACTGTTTTAACTGATAATTACAAGCGTTCTAACAGTAGTATTTATAAAAGCCATAATGTTAACTTGTAGTTCTTATTTTAGGTTAAAACTTAGTAAGAGATCTTTGTTTAATGAAAATTAATTTACTGTATTTTGGTTAAGCTGTTTTCTTGTTTAGAGTGATCATCAGTCTGTGCACAGACACAGAATATACAAAAGCATTCGACAAGTGTTATCATTGAGAAATAAAACACAAAACAGTTAAAGATGAATAATTTGAAAATATAGAAGATATAGCTTCAACTTGCTAATAAATCAGACCAAATGTAAATCTACGTTACTCAAGGCATAGTGCTCCTTCTGTAAAAGCATCATACTCGTTTTGTAAATCGGGGATGCAATAATTACATTATTGAGTAACTCAGTAAGAACAAAAGGTCTAGGCTTCAAATAAAATGGGAATTGGCAGAAGACTTTTTACGGTCTTCAAGAGTGAATTTGGTAATTTCCTTCAAATTGTTAACTTTTAGCCTGGTGTTGTCCCTAACTGGACTGCGTGTCGAGGCCCCAAGGCCAGGCAAAAAAAAGGCGTCCTCCGGGGACTTGGTGTAAAAGTCAAGGAGACTCCAGGGAACACTGAATTTTAAAATCAAAAGGTTTGTAATTTAAAAACCCGAGGCCCGGGGTTTTGGTTTTATTAAACTTCTTTCTTGGATTAACAATTGTTGAGCTGAACTTGTAAAATTCCTGGATAGGCATTTCCGGATTATGTTGAAACTCCATTTTAAATAAGGATGGAATCACACATGCTCCGTTGAATTTAATTTGGGGCATTTTGCAAAAAAAAGTTCATAAAATTTAAGTTCTTTGGGGAATCGCAGTAAATTATGGACTTTTTACTATATTTCAATATTCAAATAATTATGGGGTGCGGTCCGCTCATTTTTTTAAGTATTTACGCGTTCTTAAGCGGGTTTTTATTGTCTTTCGAGTTTGTATTATTAAAACCTATTATTTTTCCTCACAATTTCGGGAAATTTTTTTTTGCGTCTAATGGGAAGGACATGATTTTTTAATATTTGAATGAGTTTTCTTTTTTTTTTTTTTTTTCCACACTGGAGTTTTTTCTTTTTTCCACATTGGAGAGCCCCTGGGTATTAAAACTATGAAGCCTCTAGCCTTCCGACCCCTTTGGCTGTTGCAAAAAAATAAGTTTGTTCAAGGTTTTGTATTTTTGTTTAGAGTGCATGTTTTTTTTGTTATATTTTTTTGACGAAAAATAATAAATTGATGTTTCATGATTCCTGTTGAAAAGTCCGAGAGAAGGGAAAGATTATACAAAATCTATGGTGATATCAAAAGTATGTGGAAAGTTCGACTTAAGAGGTGGCATTTTGGTTAAAAAATAGCAGTATTAATAGGCCCACCCTATATTCATTCTGTGCATTTTGGTTCGAGTACCTTTCCAGATGAGTTGTAACACTTTTGCGAGTTTCACAGTTTTCGTACTGTTACTCGACAGTAAATATATATATATATATATATTATATATATATATATATATTATATATATATATATATATATATATATATATATATATATATATATATATATATATGCAATAAGATCACAGTAAACAGGTGATTTTAAAATATGCAAAACAACCACTGTGAAAGAGTAGTGAAATTCCAAGCGCGTTCGTGACTACTCATATTGACAATGTGAGTAGTCACGAAAGCGCTTGGAATTTCACTACTCTTTCACAGTGGTTGTTTTGCATATATATATATATATATATATATATATATATATATATATATATATATATATATATATATATATATATATATATATATATATATATATATATATATATAATGTCGTGCCGAATAGGCAGAACTTGCGATCTTGGCTTAAATAGCAACGCTCATCGTGCCATATAGGACTAGTGAAAATTTGTATATGCAATAATTTCGCCAAAATCATTCTGAACCTAACGAAAAAATATATTTCACTGTGTTTGTTTAACATTAAATTATTGTAAACAAATCTAAAATATATTTAGTTGGGTTAGGCTAAAATAAATTGTTCTTGTTATAATAAGGTTAGGTAAGTTTTGTAAGTTCCTTTTGGTGCAAAATTATAAATTTTTACATCAACATTAATGAAAACAATATATCTTTAAACCTATAAGAAAATTTTTTAGAAAGGACTTAATTTTAAATGAGTTCTTGCTAATTGGCCAGTTTTACCTATATATATATATATATATAATATATATATATATATATATATATATATATATATATTATATATATATATATATATATATGCATGCTTAACAATTCGCAAATAGGCGAAATTGTTTACAAACATTGTGTCTACGTTCACAGCAAACTCTGTATCAGAGTAGCCAGTACTTTACCACATCTGGGGTCTAGCTCCGTGGTAAAGTACTGGCTACTTTGATACAGAGTTTAATATGTGCCAGTTTTAAGCAGTAAGATCACGTCTTTAGCACTTACGTTCCGCCAATGTGTAATATGCAGTATGACGTGGAAACATATCCTTCCTACGTGTTGTCATACAATGAACTTGTGACATTTACGTAATTATTGAAAGATTTTGAGTGATGGACCAGAAGGTCAAACTGCGGCACAAAATGGCACGTAAAATGAGAATTTAAATTTTCCTCCTCAGATTGCAGTATAGTGTTGAATATATTTTCATTAGTAATTTATTTCAAACTGTAAGAGATGTGATATAAACACTCTATACAAAAGTAATTAAGAGGTATGAGATTTTTTAAATAAAAAGTGATATTTATAAAAGAAATATATTGGTTAAAATTTTATTTAATACTAATTCCTTAAATATAAGTTACCCATCGATTCGAACAAAACTCGCAGTGTATGGTACAATAACTATACTAAATATGGTATTATTGGTATACAGGTTCGGGCTGGTATGGAGGAGGTTGGTAGGAAGGCTTGTATGCCTGGGGCTTGAAGGTGATAGGAGGACCGTACTCGTAGGGGTACTGAGCCTCGCCGTAGTAACTGACCTCAGCCCTGTAGCCACCGTAGTCGTCAGCGATGTAGGTCACCTGTAAGAAAGGAGGTCACATGTAAATAGACCGTTGATTACTTTTGCAGATAAATGATTTAGAGATACGAAAAGTTAATAAATTAGACACATATACGACACTTGAGTATATTGTGGAAAAGTTTCGCAACAGTGGCTTCATCGGTCCAATGCAGAGAAGAATGGTTGAAGATCAGAAATTTGAGGTAATCAGTCCTTCAGCCTGGGGTCAATGGATATTACATCGATTTCAGGCTGTGGGTCTGATTACTTCAAACTCCTTCAGATCTTCAACCATTCTTCTCTGTAATGGACCGACGAAGCCACTGTGTGGCGGAATATGTCTACAATACAGATATGCAAGTGTGGCACATATGTCTAATTTTTATTGATTATTTTTACGTTAATGGTGCCCAAGGCCGACAGATTGGTAAATCAGACTTGTGCAGCAAAAGATAACAAGGGGTTTCACATGGCTTATTATATCTCATATTGTTTGCCACTTTAGTTGGCATTCCAGAGACAAAAATGCAATTTGCATTAACTTACTGTCTGTTTGCGGCCGTCGGGAAGGAGAACAGTATAGGAACCTGTGACAGTATTGCCGTCAGATTCCTCTGCTTGGCTGAAGTCAGTGCCCGCATATTCGTCCTTGACTCCATACTCGAAGTTGTAGGGAATCTGTAGGTAACACAATGACAGAATTCACTATTGTTGGTGTATTGAATATCCTGGCTCTTAAAAAGATATGAGGGGAAACATTTGTAATTCTTTACGAGGACGGGATCCAACCCTAATGTGTCTATGTGGAACGCAAGAAGAAGGGACTTAATAGTATTGCTTGAAATGGAACCTATAAATGAAGAATCAGTTCATGGATGTTCCGCGTTTTAAGGAGGGATCCAGTCCTAATTCTTGGATGTAGAATTAATGAAGAATCCAATCCTAACGCATAGATGTGAAACGTATGTTGAGCGGATCCAATCCTAATGTTTGGATGTGGAATATATGAATCATAGAAAGAGTCGAGCAATAATGTTTGGATCTGGAACGCTGGTATAGCAAGCGAGTTGTAGTTCAGTAGAGATTGACGACCTGAGTAACATATCATATACTGGAACGAGTGATACAATACACAGCAATTTTATGTAGTTTGTATTTTCTCACCGCGTATTAACTCGTTCTTCATACAGCTGGTGCCCCGTTTCGTAGAGCACTTCGATCAACATTATTTATTTCTGGCCTCTTCCTCCAAATCATACCTACACATGAAGTGATATATTGAATTTACCTTCATTTCCTCGTCCACTGTGTGTGTGTGAGAGAGAGAGAGGTAAGAGAAATATCCTGATAGTGATGAGGTTGTAGCGGAGTGAATCTTGTGATCAAGTTATTAATGTAGACGGTGGAGAAGCAAGACGAAAGTGGTGATGTGGTCGTAGAGAGTAATATCGTGGGATATATGTAGAAAAGTCAGTAACGAGGAGCGACAGTGGATAGCCCTAAGGAATCTTGTAAGGGAAGAGCTCACATGATTTTTTTTTTCTTTGACGGTTCACATGTAATTGTAATAGTCGTTAAGTAGTGGGGATTATACTAGTATCCTCACAGTAATTTAGTAGTGTGGTGGCACTAGTTCGATAGTATTATGGTATTAGTTGATATGTACAGTATCAATAAATAAAACTGAGGTTAATATATTAGAACGAAGTGTTTCAGATATTTGTTATTGTTGATTTTTGTGCTTCGTACCCAGTTTCTAGTTTTGTAATGATACTTTTTAATACTAAGCTGCAAACAAAAATAGCTTGGCAAAGTGGAAGACCTAACCAGGAGTCGAGTGACAGGGGGTGGTGACCTTGTAACCAGTCACACGGAAGTTGACTGACCTTGTATCCGGCTTGTGGTCCAGGTGCTCCGTACAGGTCTTCAGGTGCAGCCAAGGCCACGCCCACCATCATCATAACTAAGAACACCTGTGTAGAGTCAACTTTGAAGTTATTTGCGGTTATCAGTGGTCTTTGTGTGTGTATAAATTATTAAATAAGTAGATATTTTTTTTTCAGTGAATGTCAAAATTTTTATATTAGCACCGGACCTAACTTAGAAACCTCACCAAAGCTAACGTAATTTTGGGGGGCTAATTACACTAAATATATCAAATATCATTTTAAATTTATTTGATATTGCTTGAAATCAATTATATAACTTTTATTTCGATATGTTTAGATTTATTTTCGCAAATTTATTTTATAAAAAAAATTTCATTCTTCTTATTCAGCAGAAATAAATAAATCATATGTACATATATATATATAAATGGTTATGATCATAATTCTTAAAGGTGTTGGACTGGTAAGCCAGCGGAAGGCCACAGTCAGATGATCAAAAGCTCCAGCTGCGGGTCATCATATGATTAAGACCCTGTTTCCTGACAAACCTTACCTAACATGGAAATAATTGAATATTAGAATACTGCACCAGAAAATAGGACGGTGATTGGTAAATGCTATTCGACATCACTATTGATTTATTTTGTCAGTGCCAAATGGGAATATAACAGGACAAATATTAAATTTTGCTCATTGTTTTAGTAAATTTGGGATGAGTGATAGCCATGAAAAGGAAAGGAAGAGCGTAGTTGACACGAGTGTCTCAAGTATGATGCTCAGAGAGAAGAACTACGAATCTAGAAGTGTAACCTCATTCTTTATCAAGTGATAAAAAAATTTTCCGGTTAATTTAACGGGAAAATTAAGGAACTGAAAGCTCTAGTATTCTCTCTGTCCTTTCCCTTTAACATTCAAAGGCTTGTTGACAGAATCTGTCTGTACTACAGCATTGTGTGTGTGTGTGTGTTAATATTTCCAAAAATAAAAATCCTATGCACAGAGTCGACGAGAATAAAGCGAGTTTTCCAGTAGGACATGCATATTCTGGTTTCAGCACACTCAGGTATTAACTGCCATTTTCTATATCATTTTCACTTCACTGATAACAAACAAAGTCACCTTGGGGATCATTGCGAGTCTTGTGACCTGGTGCTGCGGTGCTGCTACTGAAGAGTGTGTGATGTGTCTTGGTTGGTGCCTTATATAGCTCGCTGGTGGTTACCTTTCCACACGCACATGCACACGTACAGAAATAATATTGCGTAATTGAGTGACGGATGGCGGAATTTAATGGGGGATAAGTACCAGAAAATGGAAAAGGGATGAAACGAATACAGGTCACTTAAGGAATATAGGCTGTGTTAAAAAGTTGAAAATATCGACTGAACAGAGGGACCAGGGAGATTGTCTCTCGATAAAATTAATAATTGGAAGAAACTCATTCTGTCACGCTTTCAGATGCCACAATTAACATTTCATAACACAGTTTATGCCAGCATTAAGATAAGCAGTAGATTGGTGTTCATCTACAAGAAAAAAAGTAGATAAAATGTAAGTAGTCCCAGAGCAACAAATATCAGTTAAAGAAGACAAAAGACATTAAAATGTTCATATTGGTTGATAGGAGAAAAAGCTTGAACATGATATTCATATACATAGTCATAGAGAGATCGAGAAAATTTTATGATGGTTTACCACAATCAACAGCAGGAGTCTACAGTTGTATACCCCAGAAAAAATATGCGATAAGTACTTTAGAAAGTGAGTATTTTTTTCTCACAAATGCATGCATTAGTAAACTGCTACAGCTACTGTAGACTAGTTAATGAAGATTGGACGTCACTATCGTAACTTTCTCCCTGAGATTTAATAATAGAAATAATTACAAACAGGGAACATAGCACTGCATCTGTGGGTACCAGTAACAGTCATCGATAACACTTGTGCTTGCGTGAAGGTGAAGTGTGTATCGTCGGTAGTCTTCGTCAACCGGTAACTAATACACATTTCACCCCCACACACGAACACCCCCCCCCTATGACATATACACCTGTCTTCCCCTCACACACACACACACACACACACACACACACACATACAAACCAAATAGGCCAAGTGTCTTACCGACAAATGCCTTTGACAAAGTGGTAACACACCTGCCTTCCCCTCACACACACTTGCCCTCCCCTTACACACATACACCTGCCTTCCCCTCACACACGCACATACACCTGCCTTCCCCTCACACACACACATACACCTGCCTTCCCCTCACACATACACCTGCCTTCCCCTCACACACACACATACACCTGCCTTCCCCTCACACACACACACACACCTGCCTTCCCCTCACACACATACCTGCCTTCCCCTTACACACACATATACTTGCCTTCCCCTCACACACACATACACCTGCCTTCCACACATACACATGCCTTCCCCTCATATACACCTGCCATCCCCTCACACACACATACACCTGCCATCCCCTCTCACACACACACCTGCCTTCCCCTCACATGCACCTGCCATTCCTCACACACACACACACACACACACACACACACACACACACACACACACACACCACACACACACACACACACACACCCTGCCTTCCCCTCACACACATACCTGCCTTCCCTTACACACAATATACTTGCCTTCCCCTCACACACACACATACACCTGCCTTCCACACATACACATGCCTTCCCCTCATATACACCTGCCATCCTCTCACACACACATACACCTGCCATCCCCTCTCACACACACACCTGCCTTCCCCTCACATGCACCTGCCATCCCCTCACACACACACACACACATATACCTGTCATCCTTCACACACAGATACACCCGCCTTCACCCCCCCCCACAAAAACACAACCACTCCTTTCCCCCTACACACACCACTCTTTTCCTACCCCCCCTCACACATTCATCCCCACACCCTCACACATCCACTCCCTCACATCAGCTGCGGACATAAGCATGGCCTCAGGCGATACTAGAATCTCCCCCGTGGCTTACTCTGGGGTCGTGGGAGGCAACCCATGGTGAGACTGAGGCAACACTTGCACTATAAATAAACACTTTGCGTTTCACTTTTCCTGCCTTTCCTTATTTTTATGTAACATTTTCTTTGGTAGTTTTTTTTTTAATATATATTTTATCCACTGCAACTTTAATGCTAAAAGATTGAGATTTAATAGTGATTTTGGGATTTCGATGAGAATAAATGCACGTTATATAAATCCTGATTGCTTTCCATCCCCACCTCAAGCGCTGTATAATCCCTGCTGGTTTAGCGCTCCCCATGATGATTATGTGTATAATATAATAAAATGGTACTGTGACCATATTACTGGAATAATGTGGTAGTGGAACTAAATCGTGCCGGAACTAAAACTCACTAAATTGCAGGAAAAAATTGCAAGAAACAAACATTTGAGGAATAAAATACCAGTGGATCAAAATCCTTCTGGAACAGTCTTGAAATATCGTAATGGAACTCGTTCTGAAAGAACGTCGTAGTGGAACAGAATCGTATTGGCATATATACAATCAGCAAGGCCAGCAGCGACGCGACCCCCATTATCGCCTGGGGCAAACTGAACCAAAAAAACATTACTCTTAACAAATTTATGGGTGTGGACAATTGGTAAACAGTCCTGATGATGGAACTCATTCTTGGCGGACTCTCATGGATTCAGTGTTAATAATACGAAGCATTGTGCAGTACATTTGAGTTAAGGTTTTCATAATGGAATTTTCAGTTGTGCTTTTTTTTTTTTTAGAGGTCACTTTGTTAAGTTTTTTTTTTTTGTATAATGGCTATTATTGAAATTGAGACATTTTCTTCATACTTTCTCTTGGGTTATACTTTTACGCGTTTATACTTTACACTTTTCATGATTTACAATTTGAAAACGATGTTTTTGCGTCTAGGAGAGCTTGGTTATATATTTTTTCGCAGTTTAGACGGTTATGCACTCTAATAACAGTTATATTTTTGTGCAGCTGACACTTTGTACACTTAATGGCAGTTAATGACGGACAGCCGCTACGCAATAAGAATTACGTTGGTGGTACAGTGTGTGTACCTAGGAGTCCAGCGTGCCTTGGGTGTCCTTCGGAAATTCAAAGAAAAATATGGGAATCTGTTGAATCGTATTAGCAGTAAAGGGAATGGCGCAATTCTTGATCATGTGTAATAATACTAATTTTTGGTATAAAAGTGAATTTAGGAGTTGGCAGTAGTTTTGAGATGAATTTTCTAGTTGCATAGAATGCCTGCGTGTACGTAGATCTAATTCTCATTCTCTCTCTCTCTCTCTCTCTCTCTCTCTCTCTCTCTCTCTCTCTCTCTCTCTCTCTCTCTCCTCTCTCTCTCTCTCTCTCTCATCTTCTCTCTCTCTCTCTCTCTCTCTCTCTCTCTCTCCCTCACACACACACACACACCACCCACCACACACACACATTTACAGGCATTGCTATTATTTAATTTTAGTTTTCAGAAATACACACAGAAGCACATGTTAGACTATACCAGTTATAAAGGTGACCTCTGTACTGCAACTTTGGTAACAAAAACGCATTAGGTGTTATTTAAAAAAAATACTAATTTACCATTTTTCTAAGGAGGTTTGTAGCGCAGGTCCAGACGCGCAAGTCTTCCCTGCTGTAGACAGCCTCATGTTTATACGGCAGAAATATATCAGATGGTCTTGCCAATGTGCCGTATTTACATATTTTACATATTTTTTTACATTAAAGTTCAGTGTTTAGGAGCCTTCTTATCTCGGTCACCACAGGATCTCTTATACGTAATAATATGCAGTGCTTTCTTTATTCATTTCTATACCGTATTTATTTTATACATTTTGGTTCTTTTACAGATTACTTAAGGAAGTTTTACGATGAACGGTGATTTTACATTGTTAGGTGGAAGACATTCTCTGTTGACTAGTTATTATTATTTTTAACCCTGCTGAGTTAGTGCGAGACAGTCTTCTCTCCCAGAAAAATAACTCCTTCATTAATGGAGGGATTTTAACTAGCCTTCATTATAATTTGGCTTTATGTGGAAAACTTACTCGGATAATGAGGTTACAAGGCCATAATGTTATTGAAAGTTGGTCTCAGTTTACACTACTTGCTCTTTGTCTTTGCTAAGAAGTCTTCGGCTGGTATGAAGGACAAGGTTAATAATAGGGTTGACATGAGGGCTGAGACAGATATGAGAACTGGAGCAGGTATAAGGGATGGGGCTAGTGTGATGGCCACAGCTGGTGTAAGGGCTGTGGCTAGTAAGAGAGTCCAGGTATATATGAGAGTTGAGACTGGTATGAGGGCTGGGACTAGTATGATGGCTGGGACTGGTACGATGGCTGGGGTTGGTAAGATGGCTGGGGTTGGTACGATGGCTGGGGTTGGTACGATGGCTGGGGTTGGTACGATGGCTGGGACTGGTACGATGGCTGGGGTTGGTACGAGGGCTGTGGCTTGAAGGTGACTGGTGGACCGGTCACCTGGGCGTACTGGGCCTCACCTTGGTAACTCACTTGAGCCTGATACCCGCTGTTGTCGTCGGCAACGTAATTCACCTGTTACGTTAGAAAAGTGATAATGCTAAGAACTAACGTTATGTAAAACAGGATTAGGGACATATTCTGGAATTTATTATGTATATTTTCAGATTACATTTGATAACACAGTTCACATTAACTTCTCATGATGATAACCAAATATTTATTTTACCGTCTGTTTGCGGCCGTCGGGAAGCTGCACAGTGTAAGACCCCTTGACAGTGTTTCCATCAGACTGTTCTGCTTGGTCAAAGTCGTTGCCGGAATTGTCCTTGACGCTGTACTGGAAGTTGTATGGCATGCCATCCTGACGTATAAATTACAATAAGTAGATCCACGTTCCATAAATGTGTGTTAAGAATGTTTTTAAGCTATAAGTAATATATATATAACAACACTGCGACTAGCCCATGCTACTTTGGCCTGCCTCATGGTGGGCGAAAACTCATGACGCCTTAATCCACTGGACCATACACTCCTTAAGAGTAGCGCATCCAGCGGAACAGGATGTTGTACTCGCTGCCCACAACGAGTGGTTTTGGGAACAATAACAACACGCGACTACCCAAAAGGTCCGAACCCAACCCTGTTTTGGCCTGCCACTCTGGGGGGCGAAACCATCGTATGCCCTTGGGGTTTACCGAGTCAAAAACCCGGTTCCACACTTTTTAAAGGATTTTTTGGTCCATTTGGTTTAAAGGGCGTGATGAGTTTTCCCCCCCACCAAAAGGCAGCCCAAAAAAGCAGCAGGGGTTTTCGGGGTCCTTGGCTAGTCCCCAGGGGTTGTTATTTAAATCATCCCCCACTCTTTCGGGGCACAATAATAAAAACAAAAATAAAAATATATATATATTAATTATAAAAATATATATAAAAATAAAAAATATATAAAAAGTGGGCCCCCGCCCCCCACCGAGGAGGGGGCCCCAAAAAAAAAAGAAAAAAAAAAATCCCCAAAAGGGAAAATACTTTCTCTTTCCCAACATTTTTCCCCACACTCAAAACTTTAAATCACGTTTTTGCAGGGGTGCTAAAAATTAAAAACATTTGGGAAACATACACATTTTAAAGAAACACAACATACCCGCCCCCAAAAATTTCCAAATACCCCAAAACCCCCCCCCTTTAAAGTGAGGCTTTTGAAATTTCCCCCTTTTTCCAGGACTAAAGGGCCGTAAAATATGAAAAATAACCCGGTTTTTTCCCCCTGAATCCCTTCCTAAATTTTAACCCCCTCAAATTCCAACAAAATTTTGGGTTTCCCAAGAAAAACCTTTCCCGTCTAAAATTTCACTAAAAAACAAAACCCTCATCCCAAACGTTTTGCGGAAGTCCAAAGCCCCTTCCCAAAAAAACCTCCTTTCCCCCCTCTCTTCCCAAACCCTTTCGGGAACCCCTACCCCCCCTTCCCTTTTCCCCTGAAAGATTTATATGTTTTCCATGTCTTTTCTATTTTTGACCCCTTTCTCTCAAAAATGCCCCAAAACCCCCTCAACAACCCCTCTTCAGCCCTTTTGACTAATACTTTTTTTTAAAACCCAAAAACACCTTTTCCAAATTTTTCCCACCCCTTTTTTCCCTCCATAATTTTTAAACACCACACATTGTCTTAAAAGGACTTCCCACTGCCCCCAAACCTTTCCCCTCGCTGGGGCTTTTTACCACCCAAGCTTAAAAAACCCCATATAAGAGTTTGGGTTAAACTACTATATTTTCATAAAATTCCCCTTTTTTTGGCCCCATAATAACTTTTTTGCTCCAAAATATACCCAAAAAGAAAAACCCCTCCCCCCCTTTTTTTCCCCTCATAAATTTATGTTTAAACCCTCACCTTTCATAAATCCATCCCCGACACTCAACTCCCAAGTATCGAAAACTTTCACTCTTCCATATTTACTCCCCCCCAAATTTGATACCCAAATTTTTTCCTTTATCTAAATCATTTGAAAACCCTAAATAAACCTTTACTCTTTTCTATTTTCACTTTCAATTTTTAAACCTTTTTACACACTTTTCCCAAACTCATCCACAAACCTTTGAATTTTTTCTTTAGAATCTCCCATAAGCACAGTATCATCAGCAAAAAAGAAACTGTGTCTTTTCCCCATTTTAAATTTTGGGATTCCCCAAAATTTTTAAACCCAAACCCCTCCCCCCAAACACCCTACCCATTTATTTCCCTTTACAACCCCTTTCTATAAATATTTTAAAACAACCATGGTAAAAAAAAACCCTTTTTTTCCCCAAACCATCCCCCAGGTTTCAAAGGACCAAACCCAAATTTAACCCGGGGGGAATTTTGGGGGTCCTTTCCCTTTTTTCCTTCCCCCCTAACAACCCACCCCCCTGGGGGGCCAACAAAACCCCTCTTAAAACCCCCTTTCAATTTACCAAAAAAATTTTAAAATTTTTTTTACCAAACCCTTTTCCCAAAAACCCCCAGGGCAAAACTTCCATTTCCCACATTGCACCCCCTTACCCACTCCATCATATGCCTTTTCTAAATCCATAAATGCAAATAAAAAACTTCCCTACCTTTAATTTTAAATTTTACTGTTCACATTTTGGGGCTTCAATGAAAACACTTAAATCTAAAACCCCCGCAAACCCATCGAAACCTCCTTGCTATCCGCAATCCTCCCATTCTGTCTTGCCTCAAATTTTTTCCAATTTAAAACCCCAACCTTTCCTTTTTCCCCCCTGGTTTTATTTCCAGAAAAATTAATTCCTCTAAAATTTTTTTACAGTCTTTTTGCCCCCTTTCCCTTTTATATAAAGGGAAAAAACAGGCTCTCCGCACCCCCTAGGTCCCTTTCCCCCCTCTTTCATACATTTTTTAAACAAAAGTCCCAAACCACCCCAACACATACCCCCCCCTTTTGTTTTTAACATTTCTGTCATAAACCCATCAGTTCCAGCTCCCTTTACCCCCTTTTCATTCTACGAAATGCCTCCACTTACCTCCCCCCATTTTTAAACATTTGCTCTTTTTTTCACCCCTAAAAGATGGTAACCCCCCCTCCCAGTCCCAGGGAAATTATTTGCCTCCTTTTCCTTCCCTTAAAAAAAAAAAAGGGTCCTCAAAAATATTTCTCCCCCCACTCCCCTAATCCCTTCCATCTCCCCTTTTCCTAACTCCCCTACCTTTTTTAACTCCCCAAATCCATATTTTCCCCTTAGGTTTTTTTAACTTGTTTAACTCACCCAAAATTTTTTTTATTTTCTTTAAAAGGGTTTTTTGGGACATGCCCCCCCCACTCTATAAATCGGGCTCCCCTTTTTTTGCACTCTCTCACCACTTCTTTACCGGGGTTTTTTTTTACTCCCCCTTTATTTTTTCTGCTTTTTTAAAACAACCTTTCTGCTTTGAAAAAAAAACCTCCCCAAAGTACCTTTTTTCTTTTTATAAACCCCCTTTTACTTAAATTTTCCCACCAATCACTCCTCTTTCCTCCTGCCCCCCCCCTCCTATAACCACAAACTTCGGGCCCCCAAAACTTTTTCCCAAAATATTTTTGCTTTTTTAAATAAAATTTTAAATTCAAACCCTTTTTCTACCCCCCAACCCCCCCCATACTCATCTTTGCACAAAGCCCCCCCTTTCGGGCCAATAGTCCTTATATCTCACCCGAACTTCCTCCTCCCAGTTTATAAATTTTTCCCCCCTCCCCCCTTAAATTGTTTTTCCCAAACCTTCTTTTTTTCCCACCCTACCCCCTTACTCAAACTGTAGCTAAAACCCTAAAAAAATATCCGATATACATTTGCCCCTCTATAAAATTTTACATCCTGGACCCAAAACCCATAAACCCTTTTTAACCCCAAATTTACAAAATCTAAAAACTACACTTTCTTCCCTACATCTACCTTGTTTATTTATTTATCCTTTTTTTTCATAAAAAAAGTATTACTTATTCCCAAAATCTCTTTCTACACATACCCAAAAAAAAAAGGCTCCCCATTTACTTTTTACCCCTGGGCCCCCCCAAAATTTTCCCCTATTTTCTCCCTCCAAAACTTTTTTTTTTACCCACTTTTACTTTTAAACCCCCAAAACCCCCAAATTTACTCCCCCACTTTTTAAAAAAAATTTCCCCCCAAAGTTTTTTTTAATTTTTCCAACCCTTTTTTCCCAAAATCTCTCTCTCCCTTTTACACTTCTCTTTTCTCCGGGGTGCATAAAAGGCTTTTTTAAATAACCCATTTTTCAAAACCCAAATTTTCTTTATTTTCCCTCCACAAATCCTTAAAATTTACTTTATAGCCCCCTCTTTTCCCTTTTCCCAATTACTTACCCTTTCAACTTATTCTACCCCTTTCCTTTATTTAAACTCTATTTAAAACCTTTTGACCCCTAACCCAAATTTTAAATTCCTCTCATTGAAACTCTCCCATTCCCCTTTTTCCAGTCTTTTTTTCAAAAAATTTTTCTTTCTTAACCCTTTTAGTTAAAATTTTTTTTTTTACAAAAGTAAAAGGGGTTCCCTTAAGCCCATTGTTCCCGGCATTTTATTTTGATTTCCCTACAACAGGGCTTTTGGCTTTACGGGGGAAAAGATTTTTAAATTTCCATTTCCCAAAGGATTTTAAAAAGGAAAAGAAAAAAAAACCCCAAAAAACTTTTTAAAAAATAAAACCCAAAGAAAACTCAGAGGGAGTTTGTTTTAAAAAAATGTTGTACATGTATGTTAGTGGGGCCAAATTTTCTATTATCTATCTATTTTTATTATTTTAGTTAATTTTATAAATATATTTTTTATATTATAAAAAAAAATTTTTTTTTTCGTGTTTGTGGGGATGAAAAAACCGGTTAATTCTGATTTTTGAAGGGGGGTTTTTAAATTCCCGGGCCCAAAGCGAAAACAAAGCTGATGGGGTTTAGGGTTTTTCCATTGGGGGAAAAAAATGGATTAAATTTGGTTTGAAATAAAAAAGGGGTACAAGAATTTGTTTGCTTTTAAAGGAAAAGGAAATATTAATGTTAAATTAAATTTATTATTAATAAAGTTAAGGAAATTTCATAATAGCTTTAATGAACCTTAAAAGAAACAGAGGGGAAAAATTTTGGGAGTGGTTTATGGACGCCATTGAAAAAGTAAATTTTTTAAATTGTGGGGGGTTTAAATTTGCTTTTGGAAAAAAATTTAGGGGGGGGGTTGGAAAAAAATTTGGGTCCGGGGGGTTAAAAATTGGGTTTGGAATTTGAAGGGAAAGGGGTTTAGTTTATAAAAAATTTTTAAAAAAAGGAAAAATTAATATACATTGGGGGGGCAAAAATTGCGTGTTTGTTGGTTTGGGGTTTGGAGAAAATTGGTTTTTTGGATTTGGATTTCTTTTTATGGGGGCCAAGAAAAATTTATCGGGATCTTTTCAGGGTGACCGAAAAAAGGGGGGAAGTAAAAGGAGAATTAAAAGCACGGGGGGGGGAAAAGGTTTTTAAAAAAACCCCGGGAAGGAAAGTTGGGTTGAAAAAACCCTTTGGGGTGAGGGTTTAAACAAGAAGGGGGTTAAAGGGGAAAAAGGGGGAAGGTTTTTTTTTTTGGTTCGGGGGTTCCCCCTTTTGAGGGGAAGAACGATTTAAAAATTTTAAAGTATATTAAAAAAAATTACCATTGGGGAGGGTTTTTGTGGTGATGGGGGAATGGGGGTTTGAAAAAAAAAGGGGTAAGGAAGGTAACCCCTTTAAAAAGGAGAAAAAGGGTGGGGAAAAAATTTTTTTTAAAAAAAAAAAAGTTTTGGTTTAATTTTTCCTTCCCCCACCTAAAAAAAATGGATTTGTTTTAAAAAATTTGTGAGATTTTATTTTTTAAGTTTATATATATATATATATATATTTAATTATATATATATATATGTGTGTGTGTGTGTGTGTGTGCAAACGTTATCTCTGAGTCCGCAGCAGGGTTCGAACTTACACACTGCATCAAATACGTAGAACTTACGTCATCCGATCAGATTCTGGTTCGAATGCTGATATGGACTGAGAGATAATGTTTGTAAATAATTTCGCCCGTTTGCAAATTGTTTAACTAATATATATATATATATATATATATATATATATATATATATATATATATATATATATATATATATATATATATATATATAATGCTAAGAATTCGCAGTGTGGAGATTAGGAGGTGTGGATTGCTAAAAGTATGAAAGTATTATTCAAAGGGTTGATGAAGGGTTGGCGAGATTGTTTGGATATATAGAGAGGATGGAGGAAAATAGGGTGACTAGGAGGGTATATAAATCTGTGGTGGATGTGAGGAGGAGGAGGTAGGGGTAAGGGAGGTTTTGAGTGGTAGGGGCTTAGACATCCGGCAGGCTTGTATTAGCGTGTTGTATAGGAATGGGTGGAGGCAAGTGGTTATTGTGAATTTGATGTGCTGTTAGTGTGAGCAAGGTAACATTTATGAAGAGATTCAGGGGAACCGAAGGAGGGGAAAGTACAGTTCCTGCACTCTGAGAGAGGGGTGGGGATGCTGCAGCTCGGAGAGTTGTGTAACCTGCGTTGTCGACATGCTTCTGACAAGATGGTGATTGAGTGAAGGATGGTGAAGGTGTTTCTTTTTTTTTGGGTCACCCTTCCTTGGTGGGAGACTATCGATCTTAAAAATATATGTATATTAAAACATAATGACTGACCTGCTGGTAGGCTGGTTGTTGTGATGGGGGACCATAGGGGTCAATAGGGTAAGTGTTAGCTACCCCTATCATCGCCAGTGTTATAGCAACCTGTGGGCGACCAAAATTTTAATTAAAAATAAAAATGTATTGAGATTAATATTTCTTTGCCCCACCTGGTATGTGATTTGTTTGTAATTGTGTTTACTGTACTTGTTACTTATTGTTTAGGAATTTTTAAGCAGCGAGATACCTGGCTTTAGGGTGAATAGATTATGATAAATATATTTCATTTGTTTTATTTTATTGCTATAAAAATAATTTGACTCATTACAATTTTAAGTGAATAGATGAAATTTCTTGAAGAATTTGCATATATATATATATATATATATATAATATATATTATATATATATATATATATATATATATATATTATATATATATATATATATATATATATATAATATTTATACTGCAGGTAAATTTAAATTCCTAATCACTGTTAAATGCAGATTAAGCATGATTTGTGTCAGAAAACTGTTACAGTAATATTTTATGTTAAATTGTGATAACAGTAATGACAAACCTTAGTGATCATGTTTGACTAGTTCTGGTTGTGGAGGATGAGCGAGTGGTGTGGAGGTGGAGTGTGTAGAGGCTTATATAGTGATGGTGAAGGTCGACCTTGACGGCAATATCTGGATGGTCAGCACACCTGCAGCTTCTGGGAGAAGACCACCACCACAGCAAGCCAAAATGTCCACACCAAACCACTAACTGATATAATGCAGCAATCTTCATTGTTCATCTTGAATGTAGAAGGTAATGTCTAAGGGCTGATATAATCTCTGTTAAATTGGATCGTTACACTACATGCAGCCGATTTGTGGGGGGGTTATCACCCCTACACCTTGATCCTAGACCACGCCTTCCTTTGATGGCCGGATCAGTAAAGTTGGTGTTAGCACCACACTGTCCAACGTAGGCACCACAGCCTGGATCAGGGGCTGACTTGAGGAATCTTTGAATGTTTTGTTCGTAATTCGTAATAAAATAAGAGTGAGAAAAAATCTTGGTCCTTTTGCGTTCTTGAATTGTCAAATAGTGTACGCGTTGCAGCTCGGCTTTTAGTTATGGGTAATGTGCATCATCTTCATCATCATAATATTATTAGGAATATTTTATGTGTGCAAATTTGGAACCAGTCCGTCCAGATTTTTTGTGTACATTGTAATATATATTTAGCTCCCGTTTTCCGGAGAGTACAGTTCAAGGAACTTTGGCATTCCCAATAATTTAGGTGTGTAATTGAATTTGTATAGGGCAGTGAAAGTTCTCTGTGCATTCTTCTAATCTGTATTTTGCCTGTAAATTGAGTCTTTTAGTGAAAAGCCATATTCCAGTCTAGATAGTACAGGTGACTAGAGTATCATGATAGGCATGGCATGCCTTGAGTTCAAGATTCTTGTTATCCAACCTTTAATGTTCCTTGTTAGGGGGGGGGGTGAAGCCGCCACCTACAGGGAGACCCAGAAGACCCATAAATATGAAGACCTTCCCCTTTGCTATAACTTCATCCCAGTAGGGTCGGAGACCCTTTGGAGCATGGGGCAAGTGTGCTCTAAAGTTCCTCAGAGAGTTGGGTGAAAAACTCATCACAGAAACCAAGGATCACAGAGCGGCCAGCTTCCTCTTTCAGAGACTCAGTGTTGCGATCCAGAGAGAAAATGCCTGCAGCCTTCTGGGCACGCGGCCCGCCTCCGGGGAGCTGGATAAAGTATTTGAGATGTAGGCTCTGAGATGTTATTTATGTTGTTCAACTTCCTCTTATATTTTTGTTGATGTACTTGGTTGTTAAATAAAGTCCACACAGAATATAGAACATAGAGGGTGGTAGAAGAAAATATTCAAACGCTCCAGGGAGAATCTCGAGTTTTCCCTGAAATAAGTTTATTCTTTTCTTTGAGGATGAGGGTCCCTAGTCCAGTTCCGGAGGTGGCACCTTCACCCCCCCCCCTCTCTCTCTCTCTCTCTCTCTCTCTCTCTCTCTCTCTCTCTCTCTCTCTCTCTCTCTCTCTCTCTCTCTCTCTCTCTCTCTCTCTCTCTTTCTCGCTCTTTCTCTCTCTCGCTCTCTTCTATATATAATAATGACATAATGCACCTGTAATGATAGAAGAGTGTTACTTTTAATAATAATATTTCATAAAATAGTAGTAGGGAGATATTACCGAAAATAAGAGCAAATTCTACAATGCAGTTAACTTGTGCTTCATATGCTAATAACTAATAAATATTCAGCTTTCATCTTACTGTCTGTTTGCGGCCGTCAGGAAGCTGGACAATGTAGGTCCCCTTGACAGTTGTGATAAAGGGTTTAAAACCGACAAGTTGAAGATTGACAGTGTTTCCGTCAGACTGTTCTGTGTGGCCAAAGTCATTGCCAGAGTTGTCGTCTTTGACGCGGTACTGGAAGTTGTATGGTATACCATCCTGTAGTGTATTGTAATGAGAAATCTAAATAAGCGTATCCATGTTCTGTAAATTGTAAATGTGTTGTTGTGAATGTTAGTGTAATACTGTGAATCTTGACTGACCTGCTTGTAAGCAGACTGTTGTGATCGAGCACCGTAGTGGTTAGTAGGGTGTGTGTTAACTACACCCAACACCACCAGTGTTATACCAGCCTGTAGATGATCAAAAATATTGTTAGACTAAAACAAAATATATTGAAAACCGATTATTTTAGAATTTGTATTTTCTTTACTTGTGATGCGAGTGCTGACAGACTGTGGAAGACGTGATGAATAAAATTTTAATACACTTTTGAAACTGATTGCCTTGAATATAATTTTGACTGGATTGTTAATAAATTTATTTCTGAATTTGGATATACACATGTACGGTACATCATTGTTCGATTACCAGATTAATGTTTTAACTCCAAAGTTAGCGATAAATGTATTTAATCATAATTCTTTGCAAAAATTTTTTATAATTTAAAGCAATAGTTGCTATTGTTAATTATAATAGTTATAAAGACACTTCAAGTATTTGAGGCACTTTAGCGATCATGTTTGACGAAATAAAATTGTGGAGGCTGGTTGATATAGGTTTATAGAGAGATGGTGAAGGTGACCATGACGGAAATGTATGGATGGTCAACATTCCAGCCTCTGGGAAAGGACTACCATGACAAGCAAAATTGTCCACATTAGAGCACTTGCTGGCCTGACCCAAAAAAGGAAATTACACATGTTTATCAGATTTATTATATCTTCAGTTGTGCAATTGAATGACGTGGATAATGTTGGTTCCAGAAATTTTGTGTCTGTTACCTACGTAAGAACGTCATCCGTGTCTATGCATATATTATTTTTAATTTTTAATTAGGCTGTGATGCTTATGGTGGTCTGTGTGTGTCAAACACCAACAGCCCAAGTACACCTTCGACCCAAATACTTCATACACCACTGAAGCCCTGGACAGAATACTCACTCCACCCCGCCTTGTGGCAATCGACTACACTTCAAGGAAGAAATTCAGGACGCTCCAGAATGGGTCCCTTGAAGACGGTACCCTAGCACGACTCTAGCACGACAACCTACGAACACTCACCATGAAGATAAGTTTCCCCAGCACTTTGCGGTCCGCTAAAGCTGGGGTGTGGCTCCAATGGACCCTGTAATTGCTGCCTCTGCCCGCCTGCGCTTCTGAAGCAAGAAGACACTTCCCTCCTGGGAAGTCAGTGCAAGATAGAAGAAGACATCCTCCAACCGGAGGGCCCAAGAAAGAAGAAAGAAGAAGATGAACCCCAACCCCCACCCGGGGGGCCACCGCCGGATCACCATCTGGAGAAGACCCGGGCTGGAAGTACCGGCGAATCAACATGAATGAATGAAACCAACAGCCTGGGTGATTAGGAAATCAACCAGGTCTGGTCTGGAAGTGGGCCACGGGGGCGGTAACCCTGGAATCGGCCTAAAGTAACCGTCAGATACTCCCTGATAGGTGTTATCTATAGTGCTTCATAGAATTACTTTTTCTTCAAGAATTCCGTTCCATAAAGTGAGATCGCTACTTCTGATAGGCTTCATACTTTCAGAGTTGGTGCGTAATTTTTGTTAGGGAAAGGTTCGGATTCTTATTAGGCTGTGTAGGTGTTATTTATCAAGTTGATATATGTAAACAGAGCAAAGGTTTCTGTACAATAGCTGGAGAACGCCTCTCTGATTTCAAACTTTTAACAAAGGTGTATTGTACTTAGAAGATGGTTTGCATTGCTGTTCAAGTGGGTTGGAACCAGTTAATTTTATTTAACTTAAATTATCAGAGGTAATATTTAACTGCATTATCAACTTATGCCACATTGTACGCCATTCCAATTTAACCATTTGTGGTATTTTTTATGCAATAACTTGAGAATGTCTGTATTGAATGGCTTTAAATTTTGAGGCTTGGTGCATCTAACCGAAAGGAAGATTAAGCTTTAGGCTGTGTAGGTACAAATTGACCCTATTTTTTATGAGTTACCAATAAAATAAGCCAACGAAAAAAGTAAATGACCCACACAAAACTTATGCCTGAATGATATGTAGGAATGCAACTCACAGGCAAGTCTGCCATCCATCCACACATTAATATGTAAGTATTCTAGGAGTAACTTCACATCATTAGTGATGTACATCAAATGTTCATCGCACTGAAAACACACTGTAATTATACAAAATGTATTAATATAGCTATACTCAGTATTATAGTTACTTCACTGTATATAATCTTTAATTAATCAACAGATTCACTCAGTACAGCCTCTCCTCACTTAACGACAGAGTTTTGTTCCTTAGACCACATCGTTAAACGAATTCATCGCTAAGTGAGGAGCATGCTATAATTGTAGTGGGTTTGTGTCATCCATCTTTGATGTTGTTTTAATGTCACCTTTGCACCATTTATAACATTTTTGGTATATTTTTAAATGTTTATTCAGTAATGTACTGTATATTGAAATAACCAGAATAGAGGAAATCAGCTCTAATATACATTTTTTAGGTATAAATACTGGTCAGAGAGCCCATTGTAAGTCGGAGGCATCGGTAAACGAGTACGTTTACCGTCGCTATATATGAGCCCCATGAATTTGTCATTTTCAATATTAAATAGTTAGATGGAGCATTCAAATGCCACTTTTCACCCAACATAGAGAATAGACTGTTTAACCTCAGAAAATAATAACGTTTGTCATCCTGTGCATATTTTAATAAATGAAGATGCAGAAACGCAGAAGACCAAAGGACAAAATGTAGTAAATCGTTTATAAAATATTGAAGCATCTGATAACTTTTTTTTTTTTAATTCTTTTGTCCATAAACATTATTTTAAAACTGGTGCTGCGTACTCCGTATGGGTTGAGTACATGGTTGTACAGTGTCTTGAACGATTCCTTACTAAGGTATCGGAACGCTATTCTCAGGTTTGCCAGGTACCCATATGCTGCAGCAGTTATCTGGTTGATGTGTGCTTCCGGAGACGTGCTCGATGTTATACACTCCTCAAGACCTTTCTCCTTGAGCGAGGTTTGCAGTCTTTGGCTACCTAGCCTATACTCTGTCGGCGGTCTTCTTAGCCCTTCCTTGATCTTCATGACTTTGCATTTGGCGGGGTTAAATTCGAGAAGCCAGTTGCTGGACCAGGTGTCCAGCCTGTCCAGGTCTCTCTCAAGTCTTGCCTGATCCTCATCTGATTTAATTCTCCTCATTAACTTCACATCATCTCTAACAGGGACACTTCTGAGTCTATACACTGAGTGTATACACCGAGGTTTGTGTGGAAAGTGTACATATATCCCAGATTTAATTAGATTTTTCTTCAATGGTTGTTAATAGGTGTACTGTAATCATAGTGATCCTTGTAGGAACTTTATGTACTATACCCCTCAAAGAAAGTTCTTTGATGCTGGTGAGGAGCTCTTGATCTAGGGAATTGGATCTGTGCTCCAATTCCTTGATTTAAGCCTGAATGCCCCCCACAGGTGCTGTATAATCCCTTGGGGTTTAGCGCTCCCCATGATAATGCACTGTAACAT